TATTAACCTTTCCTTTTTCTGCTTTCCTTATACAAATGCAATGTAAATGTAAACATTGGAAAAATGTATTAAAATGACAATCGATAATTGTGTGTGTGAAAGTGGAAGCGAGATTAGTGTGTGTGAGATTTTCAGCTATTACAAATGTACTTTGCATTGTATAAAAAAAATCTGAAAAATAAAACAAATACAAAAAAAAGGTATCATTGACAGGTCTATACAGGCCTGTCAGTCCTTTTTTTTTAACCGAAAAAAAAAAAAAAAAAAAAAAAAAAAAGATATTTCAATAAATTCTTATCGTACAGCAATATGGTAGTGAGTGATTGGCTTGACTTTTATGTATTATCATTTGAAGCTGTCAGTGTGTTACACTGACGTTTGACTGTAAAAAAGCAATTCCGTTTCAATGTGCATATCAGCTTAATTATGACGTAATAAAGCTTGCCACGGTATTATTGGTCGAACCTGTGCGGGCCCAAATTGATATTTCAATAAATTCTTATCGTACAGCAATATGGTAGTAAGTGATTGGCTTGGATTTTATGTATATCATTTGAAGCTGTCGGTGTGTTACACGTTTGACTGTAAAAAAGTAGCAATTCCGTTTCAAAAAGTTCGCATAACTAGAAGCGAGATCATGATTTTCTTTCTTTCTTCTCAAAAGTGATTTTCTCCTGTTAAGTCACTTTAACATTGGAGTTTTCTTCGCCATTTTTTCGTCGTTGAATGTCCAGCCAACCAAATCGCTATTTAAGATCCTTAAAGTAATAAATATTAGCTCAAAAACAAAAAAATATCAGGGATGGCCGAACTTGCCTCGGTCTCCCGTATGTAGATTTGTTTATGTCATTGATGATTGGTAAAAACGTATTCACAATATAATTTGTGCATCAATGACGCCATTTTCTTCCAGTCAAAGCTAAATAATATATTTGTTCTTGTGCGTAACGTATATGATGGGTTGGGTGGCGCAGTGGATAGCGCATTCATCTTCACCAAGATGGCTGGATTCTATCCCGATCACCTGCCCGACCACGCGGGTTTTCTCCGGATACTCCAGCTTCCTCCCATATTAAGAATTAAATCCTCTGCGAGCTTCCATCAGGGCACAATAAGAATGATTGAGATAATATGAGGGAAAACTGTTTGGTAATTACTATAGAAAAAAAGGGCATTTTAGATATTTGACAACTAGTAAATGTATAGAGATTTGAGTTAAAAAATGAAATTAAAAACAGAAAACATTGTAATTCTTTGATGTAACTGAAATTGTCTTGATATCGATATATTATCTGAATTCCTGTTCCATCCTGAAACACCGGATTGAATTTCAAGTTTTGTAACTGTCACTGAGGTAATGATGACAATTAAAATTAAACAGTTTCTGTCTGTAACTAGTTATAAATCGTTGCTGAAAAATGGCGTTGAACTCGGGTTCGTTGTCTGGACAATTATTGTTGATTTCGACAAAAAAGAATTATCCATTGCTTCTTTTATGAGTGGTGATTCATACATAAATTATGTAAAGACTATAACCAAACTTTCAAAAATGTTATTTCGTTCATATACACAAAACAAGAGGCCCAGGGGCCTTAATAGCTCACCAGGCCCCGCTTGCACGAAACTTCTTAACTCCGTTCTCAGTGCTTAACTTCGAGTATATGCTCAACTTTTGGCTATCTGCTATATTTGAGAACGGTCCTTAGCATGCTTAAGTCTCATTCTAAATATGGCTGACATAAATCGAGCACTTCATCGTCCGCTTCAGAGAACTGTCAAGTCGAGTGAATTTAATCCAGATGCCAAGCGGGTATCTTTAACATACTTTCATGGTAGGCCTAATCAATGATGCATATGGACCACTCAAAGACACAGGTCCTTTCTGTTTTCACACGTCATGCATTGGAGACACACTACGATTGCTACTGTGCTAGCCATTCGATCTCGACATCGAATGTAGATATGTGTTGTTACCGCCAACTTTAAATATTTGCAACAGGACAAATACTTGCTAAATAACGAGTTATAAATTATATGCACTCGCAGTTTCGTCACCACAAACTTGTATAACGTAAACGACTGTCAGGGCCCCCTATCGGCGACCTCAATATAGTCTATTCGTAGTACAATTATTGTTGATAATACTGAATGGGACTCAATGTGTCCGACTGCTCGCCATGACTTCGTATGAAGCAATATTATAAATCCAGTCTGCTTTTTGTCAATACTACACCACACTCTGAGATATTCCCAAAACGTGATACATAATTATCAATAAGAACAACATCAACATCGCTAGTACTAAATATAAAATGTAGTTTGTAGGTCTCCATTTCATGATATACATATCTATTTGTATTGATAAAAAGTCATTGATTTTTTTAATATAGAGCACAAATTTAATCATCTCAGTTACGACTTTACAAAGAACGTGATCTATCTAATTTCATGAGAGAAACTGTTTCTATAATGACCTTGGACAGCAGACTTTTAATTTGCACAAGGGCATTATCTCTTTTATTTCTTCATTTTCAAACATTGGTTGTGAGTTTTGAGACTTGCGTTTTAATTTAAAAAAAAATAATCCGGTTGGAAGGTGTTTTTAACTTTGAAAATTGCTAACTATTATTTTAAACCTAAAAATAATTATATAATCATTTGATAAAAAAAATATATCAAAATTTGAGCTATGGCGGGGTGCCATGCCTATTTCCCCAAACGTGAGACCGCTAGTGCGCGCGTGCCACCGCGTCCTCAGGTATTTTTATACAGGTAGCTCTATCGGAATCCTGTGTCTAAGAATAGATTAATGTAAACAGCCGAAGTCAAGGCCATGACCATTAAGTTTCGCTCAGTTGACATCAATGGTAAGCCGGGGCTTGTATAGATGTATCTTCTTCTCTACTTAATAGTATAACGCACTTTCGCGTACTATTGACTTCTGGTTGCTATTTACAAATGTTATTTCATTAACGCGTGGTAAGTTTGATATGGAGTTACGTAACTCCCAGTAAAGTTCCTCTCCTATATAGTTAAAAGTATGGTTAAAATACACTGTTCACACTACTATCAGTATCACTGTTCATATCAGAATGTCACACAGTGTCTAATAAAAAGATGGTTTGAACTTGGCTGGGTGTTGCTTCCAGTGGTTGTTAAGACGAGTCTTAAAGGTGTTTAGAGTTGGGGAATATTTGTATTCATGTGGGTGAGGATTTCGTCCCTTATGAGCCGTTGCATAGTTTTTGATGGTACAGACGTTAAGCTGATAGGTCTGTAATTGCCGGGGTCCTTTTGCGATCCCTTCTTAAAAAATGGTTTAACTGTTGCCTCTTTCCATGATGTTTGTAGTTGGGAGTTTTCCAGGGATTTCTTGAAAACAATTTGTAGTGGTTTCTTTAAGTCCTCAGCTGTTTCGGAGATAAGTTTTGAGTGGAGATTGTCCGGCCCTGGTGATTTAGTTGGGTTAATCCGTTTGATCGCCTTTATTACAGAATCCTCTATAATGTCAATATCTACAAAGGGTTCGTGAAAGTTTCTCCTAGGAAGGGGTGGTAGTGGTGTATCCTGGTCCTTAACAAAAACACTTGCAAAGAAGTTGTTTAGGGTGTCGGCTGTGTCTTTATTGTCGATAGTAAATTCGCCATTCGGTTTTTGTATTCGTCCAATGCTTGATTTGACTTTGGTTTTTGATCGTACGTGGGTCCAGAAAAGTTTTGGATTTGTTTTGATTTTCGCTGCCAGATCTTCCTCGTAGTGGTATTTAGATTTGCGTACTGCCTTTGTTGCGATATTTCTGGTTTTCTGGTATTTCACAAAGTTCTCAGTAGTTTTACAGTGGAGATATTTAATCCAGTGACGCCTTTTTGCAGATATGGCCGTTTTTGCCTCTAGATTCAATTCTCGGTTGCGGAATTTCCTGGTGGTACATCCCTTACTCACTGGTAGTAATTTGTCAATACAATTTTGGGAAAAACAGTAAGGTTGTTCCAGGTTTCTTCTACTCCTTGAATAGATTCTAGATGAGTACAGTCAATATCGCCTAAGGATTGGTTAATGCTCTCATAGTCACATTTGAAAAAGTTCTTTTTTGAAAAGTTGTTATGTTCAGTAGGAGGATCTGAATAGCAGATGAGTTTGAATTGGATTCCCAAATGGTCACTTTTACCAGTCCTTCCCTGAAGTCTACGTCCTGGACCATTCCCTCTTCGTTGGTGAATATTAGATCCAATATGGAGGGGATCTGAGTTTCCCTATACCTTGTTGGTTGTTGGATATATTGATAGAGGAAATTGTCACGGATGCTTTCAAGGAATAAACTGGTAGGGTTGTTCACACTGGTTAGGGATATTTGCCTTTCCCGGTCGATTTCCTTGTAGTTAAAGTCACCCAGCAGAAGTATGTGGGTAGTGTTAGTGGCATCCAGATTTGCTACTAGTCGGTTTATCTTGTTGTTGTTTTCGGTGGAACTGTTTGGGCTCCGATATACACAGCATATCAGTATAGCATGTGTAGTTCAGACACTGACTGACTTGAAGCAAATCGGACCAGGGTAGGGAGGGGTGACGGGGGAGTCATGTTGTGACACAGACACATGTAAATGTATCTCAGGCGGCTTGTCAGCATTGTCGTTAATAAACAAAGAATCTGTTCGTCTGACCGCTTGAGTTCTCCTTTGCACTGAAGTGCCTAGACTTGCACAGGCCTATCTTTCGTGAAGTCGACGGTTGTTTTCTTGTTGAAAGAGTGACAAACACATATTAAAATTGGTAGACCTTTGAGTCAAACATAAAACCTGTCTGTGAGAGGTCAAAACTGGTAAAATTCGCTCCATAGTACTCTTGTCGATTATTTGATATCGGATAGGCCCTCCCGTGTTCCTATTCCCGGCGAAGTTGACGGGTATTATGTAAACGTATTCGGTATGGTTTGAAATGTTTCTTCATTAAAACGGTTTTAAAAAATAAAGTTTTTTAAGAAACATTTCAAACCATTACGAATACGTTTGCAAAGTTCACACAAATATCGTCTAGTCACCTGTTTCCGCGCGTTATGTATTTCCACGCAGACATTTTATCAAGCTATATCTCGAAACTACATGACCTGCTGGACACAACACAAGGATATTTTGGTTTGGCCATCGTCTGTAAACTGACACAAAAATTACCGGAAGTTCGTCCGGAAAACATAAGAATTAATCACTGATTAAAAAACACGCATAACTATGCAGTTTTGCTTAATGGACTTTTCATCTTGCTCAAAATGAACCCATACCTGATAAAACGGTGATATATTTCATTCATGAACCAGTCTTTTTTGTAGTCTGACAAACGTACGAAAATGTCGTATGTAAATGAGGCCACATCTCCTCAATCTCCTCGCTGATTTTTTTCCACTTCCGGAGAGCCAAGGAGACATTCTTATATCGATAAACACTGTTTTCAATGAAACGTAAACCCTGTAATGCAACGACTTCCAATTTTCACCAATTTTAAACAGAACAAAATGAGAAATAACTTGCCATCAACAAAAAGCGATATAAGACTGCAGAAAAAATAATAATAACAGATTCTATATTATAACTAAATAAATATAATAAATAAATTTATAAAATTACATTAATTCATTCAATTTGACATCTTGAAAAATCAATTAAAAATGTGATATTTAAAAAAAATGTTCTTTGATCTTAATTTGACGATCAAAGTGGTTTTTTTTACTCCAAACGAAGCTTTTGTTGCAGGTCACTGTAGAGAATTTCTTTTTAGTGTAATCGAGTTATCTTTCTTTGAACACTAAATCAAAATAGACACACGGAAACATATGACGGCTATTTCCGACGGGAGAAAGTTAAAAATTGTTTGTTCTGATTTTTTTAAAATACAGTTTTATGTTGCTAGTTATTTGTTTCCTTTAGTAGAATGTATACATGTTTATGACAATCTTCCGTAATTTCAACAGTTTTCTGCCGATATGAGTACGAAATCGCGGATGCTTCTAAAGTGAGCAGAAACCGGTAACCCGAGGATAAGTTACGATGTGAAACATATACTGAACAAAAAACAGAAACGCACAATTAAATTATGCAATCAATAGCCTATGATATGTTTGGAAATTTGGGTTAGATTAAATTTCATTTGTTAGACGATTCGTCGGACCTCCAAAATATAGGAACAAAACAAAACACAAAATAGAGTAGGATATAAATAAAGGACGGCCTGGATATGGTACGCCCTCCTCCAAGACCCACGCCATATAAGACGTCATGATATGATACGATCGGTGATCTCCCCATCTTTTTGATATTAAAATTGTTCAAATAAGATACATATATTATAAGCCCAGCAACTTATAGATACCNAGGACGGCCTGGATATGGTACACCCTCCTCCAAGACCCACGCCATATAAGACGTCATGATATGATACGATCGGTGATCTCCCCATCTTTTTGATATTAAAATTGTTCAAATAAGATACATATATTATAAGCCCAGCAACTTATAGATACCCCTATAAGACCCTCTTCCTAAAAAACATTTTTTTTCTTTTTTTTCTTTCAAATATTTATATAAATTAACATTTCTTATTTTTTTTTCTTAACTTATAAACATACACCATAGAATTAAAGGGAAAAACCCGCTTACACCATAGAGACCCCTCGGATAATCTCAGACTCCGGCCAAGCCTGACAAAGACACAAAGTACTGTACCTAACGGAAGCAGAGACGTTTCTCTATTGTCGGGCACAACCGGCAGTTAGAGACCCAATATAATACATATACCCCCCTATAAGAACAGGAATATATGCAATAAATACACTTTCAAAATATATATATATATATATTTTTATATATATATATTTACATTAATATAAGCCATATTGGCCAATTTTTGTTTAAAAGTAACATTTTAAATGTTGATGTTACTCAAGCTGTACTGATACGAACAGCTCCAAATGTGTGTGTGTAACAATGATTAAAATTCAAATAAATGGTTTTATCTAGTTATGATAGTTAATTTTCGATGACTTGAAGAAACTGATTAATCCTGTTTGAGTAAGATTGCTGGGATCGGCCTAGATGAGGTCAATTTACAAGCATCGCAATAAAGATTCAGTCTTGAACAAATAAAACCTTCCAAATCGGTGTCCAAAATTATAAAAAAAATCGTCGGGTCCGGACTCTACGCACATCATGCGATTGTACAACAATGCTTTCAGGCCGACAACAAATTCTTTTCAAATATAAATTTAGAACATTTCTAGATGGTGTTTTAATTAAAGTGTCGTTAGATGGCTGAATGTTAGACGCAAACAATACTTTTTAAAAGATACTGGTTGATTTTCTTTCTAAACTATACACATTGCATGAAGATGGAAAATGAATTATCAAATCTTTCCGAGCGTCATTTCCATAAACAAGCATTGGGTCGTCAATACATTGTATGTCCCAAAGTACACTTGCAAAAAATAATTTACTTGCATTGAGATGTCCGTCGCACAGTCCAAATTTTTAAGATTCGTTGTGTTACAAAATATTTCATAACTGTTTTAATTAATAATATAACTTTTCCCTTCGTATACCTCTTCTTGTCAAAATGTTTGAAGGCTTTAACTGTTTTGAAAACTATGGTGACGTTATTTACGTCACATCTTATGTTTTATGACGACATATGGCATTTTCGTCACAGGGTGGCGAATTAAATACCAAACACTTTTGCCGTTTTACACAAACATTCAGATTGAACAAATTCTGGTTTAAACAGTTAATAGTGTGGTTTAGCAACCTTACGTGTACTTGTACGTGTATACGTGTAGCGGGGAATTCCCTTAAAAACGAGTGTATTACGTCATCACTTCCGGGCCTTTCTAGAGGTACACATTTGTTGTAACTTGAAACATACACGTAAGTACTACCAAATTTATTGAATTAAACCAATATTGATTTGTAATATTATGATAGTGTGTCTTCTTCGAAACTATAAATTGACCACATTCGAGAAATATTAAACTGCAAAATCTGCGTTTGAAATCGGGCGCCCACACACTTGCACAAGTAGCAGTACACACGAGTCATGTCGAGAGTGTGTGATTTGATGTGTGTGTTTACTACTGATGTTTAAGATGACATACGTATTTCCGCAATTTTGCCATTGTTTTTTTTCCAATTAGTGCACTCGTCGGTCATAAACCTTTCCAGTGACCAAGGCACGGACAGTTCTGCGAGGTGACCGGAACCTCCCCCCCCCCCCCTACACACACACACACACACACACACACACACAGTCCCCCGCGGCTTATTTATTAGCCATCGGAAATGTTTGTTAGTGCTCTTTTAATCATACTGATTTTTTTTAAATTTAGTTGAGAAAAGTGCTTCAAATGCAAAACAAAATGAAAAATACATAAAAAGTTCAACACAGAAAAACATATTTTATTGAAGGAAAACAATCAAAGGGATTGGGCACAAGTTCTGACAACTTACTAGGCCCCCTCCCGACAATTCAACACAGAGTAACTAAAGATATAACACGTGGTGACAAAAGTTCAGCATATATATATATTATACATAAACAATCTACTAATTGACATGAAAACAGCGAGGAGAAAGGGAAAGAGTGAGAGAAAAGGTGAAAGAAGGGACAGTAGGGGAAAGGGAAGGAGTGAGAGAAAGGTGAAAGAAGGGACAGGAGGGGAAATGTTCTGGTTGCATTAGTTGTCCACTAGTTGGTTTCAAACCTATTCGTTGATTTTATAAATGATTGTACAGCAAGTATGATGTTGGCATTTCTTTGGAATGGAAGATCTGCATCTCCCCATGTAAGAATATACAGTTGGGGGACTGGTTGAGTACCAATGATTAAAAGAGCATCTAATAATCTTATTCGAGGATTTGAAAATTGTGCACAGACAAACAAAATAATGATATGCATCTTCATTACCATCATCGCAATGACAGCTCGGGTAGGTGAGCCAGTTGAAGTTGAATTATTTATTAACGTTACACTAACACTTGTTTTCTAGTCCGAGACAAGGAGATTTCCAGCAAGGACTCGTTCTTGAATCACCTAATCACATAAGACCCCCCCACCCCGCGCGCTAACATCCGGGCCAACAAGAGTGATTAATATAAGTTGACATAACTTACTTGTTTCAAAATTGTTGTAAAATAAATATATTTTATATATTATATAGATACATTGTGAATCTCCTAGCCTACTTGGTCCTTTGGACTTATAAAAATATATCATTTGATCGATATATTTATTATCAATAAAGAATATCCCTTTTTAAATATTAGGAAACTGCATAAGAAACAGATAAATATAGATCTGTATTGCATAAATTTGTAAAATGTGTCTTACAACTTCATTATATTTGTACAACAGTATATATAGTTATTTCAAGTTTCCTACAATTAATGACGTTTCGTGAGGGAGATGTTTTCTTAAGGAAATCTTGGACTAGTTACAATGCCGTTGGACTAATAAATAATCTATTCAACTAGTTCTGTGAACTATGTTAATAATTATAGGGGAATTACTCTCATTAGTCATGTACCTAAATTATTCACTAGC